TTCAACTTTCTTGAAAAATAAACATTGATCAGTAAGTTTTATGTAAATTATAAATGAGGTACTGGTATACTTTGACTTAATATTGCAAAGGAGGACTCTACTTTTACCCTACAGACTCTACGGTTAATACTGTAATATTTTACTCTAGTGCCTGACTTGTTTATTTCATTCACCATTGGAGAGGTGCAGTAGAGTATTAGCAAATTAGAAATGAGTTTTGGAGTCTTCGGTGCGTTTAGACTCTTAGAACAGATCCTGTATGATTTCTTAAGTATTAAGTTATTCTAGAATGACACATTTTGTTGTTATTCTCACACTTGGCAAAGCTACCGAGCTGACTAAACGCATGTGTTGTTGCGATATGCAGTTAAATTTTTTTAAGAGGTGCACATCAGTGTTGGCATCAGCCACGGCGAGAACCATGCGACCGCACGAAGGCTCACCGCATTTCGGTGAGTAGATTACATAATAGTTTTCTTAAAAATATGTATAAACTTCTGATTTTACTTTAAAATATATTTTTTACTATTTTCCCCAAATTATTACAGTGACCTAGGTTACTATTGTTAGAAATTATCAGCATTTGGCACGGTTGCTCAGTAGTTAGCACTGTTGCCTCACAACTAGAAGGTTGCTGATTTGAGTCCCAGCTGTGCCTATTGACGTTTCTGTGTGGAGTTTGCATGTTCTCAAAGTGTTTGTGTGCGTTTCCTCAAGTTTCCCCCAAAGACAAGTGAATAAACTAAATTGGCCATAGTGTATGAGTGCTTGTGTGAATGTGAGAGTATATGGATTTTCCCAGGACTGGAAGGGTATCTGCTGCATAAAACATATGTCAGATTAGTTGGCGGTTCATTCCAATGTAGGGACCCCTGATAAATAAAGGACTAAGCCGAAGAAAAATGAATCAATGGTAAATACTTTCAGTATCATCGCATCTTCAAATGTTCTGATCTAATCTTGTTTATATGAAATAAGCCTATTTATTTAGAGCATTTGCAAATTCAGTATCCATCCATGGCGATATGAGTTTTGTACACATTTTGTTGTAAAGCAAGTATGGTTTTCACCCCAGCCATCCCTTGGTTTGCTTTTGGATGAATATGTTATTTGAGGGCCAAATAAAACAGACTGAGACACACTGATCACTCTTAAGTTTGTTGACATAGAGACACACACCCTCCACTGGATTTACCTGTTGTCTCTATTTTCAGATCTATGAAATGGAGCACTGAATCAGTCAGTGAACAAATTCAAATCCCGCTAGATAAACCAAGATTTATAAATGTCATAACACAAATGTCTACAGTACCTGAAGGAAGTGAACATTTCTAGGAAGTTAATCCTGTTTATTTCATAAGAATTGAACATTTTCTTTTGTAGGGCAATGTAGATAGGGGGTTCCGGGTAAGATGCTGTTTCCCTTTTTTGCATGCTCTTTCCCCACACTTACTTTCACACATCCTTAATTTTCGTTACACTGATTAAGGCAAGTGTTTGCTGAATGGCTTAGGTGCAGTTCTAATGGAATAGCCATGTTAATAAAGGCTTAAAAGGGGGGGGGGGGGGGGCGCGGTTATTTCAAAGTGCCTTGGGCTTATAATTTTGCTGTTTATCTTAATGTATCTCTTACCCAAATAGAACCAACACATTAATTACCCTAGAAGCACTTTTTGATTGATTTTGGTTTCTTACACAGCCTTTCTCTTGTCGCAGAGTTGAATGCATCCTCATGATAGATAGATTTCAGGCTCCAAAAATTTGACTGTAATCCAGTAATTGTGTTCTAAGTATTCCATTGTAAAAGTTGGTCTTTATTGTATTCAATTTGGTCAAGTGTCTAAAAGCTTTTGTTCATGAACATGACAGGAAATCAAGCCTACAATACATTAGCAAACAAACTAAAAGCATAACACCAGAAGACTTATGAAACCACTGAAATCCCACAGCCAGGCACTGCAAAAATAGTTTGGTGTACAATATGTTCTGATAATTGCATTAATGAATATTGTGGGTGGCATGGTGGCACAGGGAGTAGTGCTGTAGACAGCAAGAAGGTCGCTGGTTCAAGCCCCGGCTGGGTCAGTTGGCATTTCTGTGTGGAGTTTGAATGTTCTGTTTGAGTTCGCATGGGTTTTCTCCGGGTTCTCCGGTTTCCCCCACAGTCCAAAGATATGCGCTATAGGTGAATTGGGTGAGCTAAATTATCAGTAATGTATGCGTGTATATCCTGGTCCTCCAGGTTTACCTCATAAAATTAGATGTTACAAAACACCAACATGGTGTGGCTAAATATCAACTTTGATATAAAAGGAAGTTAGTAAGTAGCTTAATAACTTAGTAAATAGGTTAGTAAGATAGGAAGTAGTTTAGTTAGTAAGTAGGTTAATTGGTAAGTTAGTAAATAGGTTATTACATTAGTAAGTAGGTTAGTAAGCAAGTTAAGTATGTTAGTAAGTAGGTTGGTTGGTAAGTTAGTAGGTTAGTTAGTAAGTATGTAAGTTAGTAGGTTAGTTAGTTGATTGGTAAGTAGGTTAGGAAGTTAATTAGTATGTTAGTAGGTTAGAAGGTTAAGTAGGTTAATGCCTGGCAACTCAGTGGCGCAGTAGGTTGTGCTGTCGCCTCACAGCAAAAAGGTCACTGGTTCGAGGCTTGGCTAAGGCAGTTGGCGTTTCTGTGTGGAGTTTTCCCTGCGTTCTCCCGGTTTTCCCTGCATGCATGTGGGTTTCCTCCGGGTGCTCCGGCTTCCCACACAGTCCAAAGACATGCGGTACAGGTGAATTGGGTAGGCTAAATTGTCCATAGTGTATGAGTGTGTATAGATGTTTCCCAGAGATGGGTTGCAGCTGGAAGGGCATCCGCTGCATAAAAACATGTGCTGGATAAGTTGGAGGTTAATTTTGTTGTGGCGACCCCGGATTAATAAAGGGACTAAGCCGAAAAACAAAATGAATGAATCAATAAGTAGGTTAGGAAGTTAGTTAGTTAGTTAGTAAGTAGTTTAGTAAGTTAGTTAGGAAGTTAGTTAGTAACTAAGTAAGTCAGTCAGTCAGTTAGTTATATCGTAGCTTGTCCAGTGTATGTCTGACTGGAGTTGTTGGAGATGTTTTTTTTAGAGGGTAGCAGGGGCATGCCACACGTTATCTGTTACAGTACACCATTTCGGCTGCCTCGTTAAAAGAAGTGGCACTGAGAACCTTATTACAAACTTTAGGCTATTTTATTTTACAAATATGTATTATCCAAATAGCTGTAGTGAATGGTTTGATTTGTAGTGCATAACAAACTGAAAGCCTTGGTATTGTTCAATTTGAACGTGTGTATACCATTACACTCCTTCTAAATTGAAAAGATTTAGTAAAATTACTGGATGTATCCTGATGCAAGATGGCACAGGTCCAGCTTTCACTAAATGCAAAAGGTCAAAATAGAAATTTGATTGGATGGTAATTTTGTTCTTCAAAATATATACATGGTGTGAATGCTACAACAGATTTGACTATTTTTTTGTGACAGAAGGCAAGTAGGAGAAATTCCTTGGTTGAGCAATTCCTCCTAAAAATCTTTTTTTTTTGTCTGGTCATTACTCTTAAGTTAATCATGACCAATGTTTCTTAAGTTGCACAAGTGTAATAGGTGTTTTCCTCGCCCCAAAAAAAAACAACCCCACCCGAGAATACGTTAATCATGGGGGTATTTATGTGCAATTATGACGTGTCTCTACATGCTAAATCCAACAGCCTTTAACTTATTGTTGGAGTTTGCTAATACTTAGTCAGGTAAAACCAGACCCTAGGTGCAGGACACCCCTGCTTCATTTGCATCTTACTAGTTTAAGTTTTCTTTGTAACTCATTTGCTTGCCACATCCAAACAGAAAACAAAACTTTGTGTTGTGCGAAATATTTGCATTGCAGTAGGTATTCTTTGATTCAATTTCACTTTTTTTTGCTCCATGAAGTTATGTAGTTGTGTAGTAATGTTCACCTTAAAATGTATTTAATGAGTCTACTAATATATGGAGTCAGATCAGATCAGTCCAATTCCAATTCGTAAATTCAAAACAGTGATTCGTAAATATAAAATCCAATGTGTAAATTTCAAAACACAATTAAAAAATATACAAATCCAGTGTAAATTTAAAACACGATTCAAAAATACACAAATACAATGTGTAAACTCAAAACACGATTTGTAAATACACAAATCCAAATCGGAAATTCAATACACGATTTGATAATACACAAATACTAAACGTAAATTCACAATAAGATTCATAAATACACAAATCCAAATCGTAAATTAATAATCTGATTCGTAAATACAAGATCTAAATCAAAATTCAAAACACGATTAAAAAAAATATACAAATCCAATTCATATATTCAAACGTGAATCCAAAAAAAATCCAATTCCAAATCCAATTCATTTGGCAAAAATATTTTTACTTGTGAATTCACAAATTGTTTGTTGTATTTATGAACAGTGTTTTGAATTTACAAATTAGACTTTGTAAATGTGAATTGTGCTGTGCATGTATGAACTTTATTTTGTAAATGTATTATTTTTGAGACTGATCTGGCTCCATACTAATAATATGCTATTGCAATCTGGAATTACCAAGGTAAGGCTGCGTACTTTGAAAAAAAAAATTATGTTCCATGATTTTACAACCCATTGCTCAACCAAATATTGAGCCAACACTTTATTTTTGTAACCTATAAGCTCCATGATTGCATGGCTTGATTTAACACAACATTTGTGAGTGATTGCAAAGCAGTTTCTAATAAGATTCATGTTTCTAAATACCAAATGTGCGGTTTCTATGTTTAAGAGGAAGTAATTGTGGGAATCATGAGACTAGTCAGGTCTGGTTGTGTGAGCAAATAACATTCCTCATTGCTTCCTGCTCTCTCTTCTGACATGTCAAAACATTTTCATGCTAAACATTCTTTCTATAACGTCTTTGTCTGAACAAGTAATTACAAAAGGCTTTCTCACCAGGTCCAAAGTGGTTTTCTCCAAAAGATCCACCATTTTTTCCAGTTTGGTGTTTGAGGTGAAAATAAAGTCATCATCCACCCAAAGCACGTATTTGGTAGTTACTTGGGAGATTGCCAAGTTACGACCAGCAAACCAGCCCTGTAATTAAAACACAGAATTTTAAAACAAAATCTAGTTTTTCTGACTTAAAAAAACACTGAGTTTATTTATAAGAGTATATTCAAACCTTTCCAAAGGGCATGATATAATGTTCGATGTGGGGTCCAGTTACAGGCTTAGGCTCCTTTGTGTCATCAGCTATTACTATAGTTGTAGTGGGGTAAAACTGTCGAATGCTGTTGATCAAATCCTGAAGTTTATCATAGCGTAGAAATGTTTTGGTGGCAATGGTGACCAAAGTGTTTACATTGTATTCTGTAAGAAGAACAACATGAAAACATGAATACTGTGAAATGAATTATGTAGAAAAGATATTGATTGTTATGGTTTACCTTGCGTTGGTGCTGGATTATAGAATTTGGGCATTGGTGGATGTCTAATCTTGACGGTAAAGGACGCCTGGAATGCACCTGATTTAAACTGGACTGTTACAGATAAAGGAAAGGTTGTACTTAAATAAAATGAAGGACATAAACATGCTTATTTTACATTATTGTATATTTCTGTTAATATATTTGGTTTATATCAAATACACTGTAAAACCCAACAGTTAACTTAATCTAATGAAATGTTTAGTTAACTCAAATTCCTGAAGGGTAATTCTACTTATTTGAAAAGAGTTTTGAACTCCGTGTTGAAGGTAATGAGTTAATTAAATGCCTCATTGCTTCAACTTAAATGGAGCAGGTTCACATTACTCACATGGATTAGTTTAACTCAAATGGTTTATAGCAGGGATCACCAAACTTGTTCCTGGAGGGCCAGTGTTTTGCAGATTTTAGCTCAAACCCTATCAAACACTCCTGAACAAGCTAATCAAGGTGTACTTGAAACACCCAGGCAGGTTTGTTGAGGCAAGTTGGAGCTAAACCATGCAGTGCACCGGACCTCTAGGAACAAGATTGGTGACCCCTGGTTCATAACAATCGGTTTCCTCAAATGGTTTGAGTTGCCTTAACTTGGGTTTTACAATACTCAGTTGGTTTTCAGCTATCTTCATTTATTGGTTTGTACTGTGCTCATATTGCTTTGTTTACTCAAATGGATTAAGTTCAAAGTACTCATTAGGATTAGTTTTGAACTTAAATGGTTTGTTGCAATCGGTTTTCTCAAATGGTTTGAGTTACCTTTACTTTTTGGGTTTTACAGTGCTAAAACATTTTACATGAACCTGTTTTAATTCATTTTCTTGTGATGTCACAGTCTTATTTTAAGATGTATTTTGGTTATGGATAACAAGTACGAGCGAGCCCTATTCACATATACATATGGTGTTTTATTACGTTTTGTTTGTCAACCTGATTTCTAATTCTTATTCTAATATTGTGAAATAAGCTCATGGAGTTTACAAATGAATGAAAAACAGGACAACAAAAAGTTGAAGCAGCAGCTGCTGCTTTCATTTCTGCTCTGAAAGCCCTAAAGCTAGTTTCACAGAACTTTTTTTTAGTTCACTTAATTTCTATCTTTAATAAATTTTATGAATAAACTTTAAAAACTAAAAAAATAAAAAATAAATTAATAATAATAAAATAATTAAATAAATTACAAGTCCACATCTGTGAAAGTGGTATGAAAGTGATATGATAAGATTCAATTTTGTATGGTTAAGGTTTGGGGCAACATGATAAACTCTGTGTTAAGTAAACAAACATAATAAATATGCTTAATATGATTCGATCCATTAAGAGAGAGTGTTCACATTGTGGGCTCATCTGCTTGTCATCACTAAAATGTATACTGAACTTTTGATTGATGTAGATGGATCACAAAAGCTCAAAACCTGTCTTTTGTTTACATTTTTTTGTTGACAGATCATTAATTATCTGCGGCTTAAAACCTGACAGGTCTGTAGTGCAAGTCTCTAGATGTTTTATCTCCCGTTCTCTGTGCCATGTCAGATGACTGGAAACTGAATACTGTTCTATTTCCAGCCATCAGCAATGCTGTAACAATCACTTGTTACATTTTTTGGCTTGTTTAATGCAGTTATTTTCTGCTCCACAAAACCCCCATGGCACTGGCCCCTCAGTGTCGAAACAAAATACTCATAGCAACCTTTTCTACAAGACAAAAGGGAACATATGCTGGCCACAAAATGACTACTCTATTATAAATTTATGAATAAGCACAGTGAATAATGAGGTTGTTTGCTCTGTTCTGATGTTTGTCGTAGATGTTGACATTGAAGGGTTGCTTTTTTTGCAGATCAAACATTTTCTAATGTGATGCGGAAACTTGTTTTGGGTTCTCACCTACGTCTGCTGTGTTGGGATGGAACCGTGTGTTTGTATAGGTAACAAACTCGAGTTGTCTGTTTAGTGAAGCAAGTGATCTGCTCATAAAATGAATCTGCATCTCTCCTTCCCCTTCCACTTGTACTCCATCGACCACTGCTGCTGTGCTGAATATTCCCATAGTAGCAATCAGATCTACCTGCAAATGAGATTGTATTAAAATAGATTTCTTATGTACGGTGCCCGACAGCCTAATAGCTGCAAAATAAAACATCAGCAAATTAGAAAAAAAAAAAAAAAAAAAAAAAAAGACAATCGCTTTGACAGTGCACACACTGCAAATCTTGCAGGTACAAATAGAAAAAACGTGCTGCAAATCGTTACAACACATAAACATTAAGAAAACATGCTGCAAATCCTCAAAGCACATGCATATTTTGATCGGAAAACAAATTACTAAAGTTAGCAAATTTTATTTGTATTATTTTGTCCTTTCCATCATTAGCCTACACTGTAAAAGCCAACTGTCAACTTTATCAAATGAAATGTGTACAGTAGTTAACTCAGTATACTGAAAGGTAATTGTACTCATTTGAAAAGAGTTTTGAACTCAGTGTTGAAGGAAATTAGTTAATTAAATTCCCTTATTAATTAAACTTTAATGGAGTTAGTTCACAGTACTCATTTAGATTACTTTCACTCACATGGTTTGAGTTGACTTAACTTACTAGGTTTTACAGTACTCAGTTGGTTTGAGTTCTGTGCTCAAATTGCTTCGATTACTCAAATGAACTAAGTTCACAGTACTCATTAGGATTAGTTTTTGAACCTAAATGGTTTGTTGCAATAGGTTACCTCAAATGGTTCTAGTTACCTTTTTGGGTTTTACAGTTTACTAAAAGAGCCTGATTTTTTTTTTACATTTTTTAAAAAATAGTCTATTATTCTTATCTGCAATTTCATTTGTCCTCATTTTAATTTAGTTGATGATATTTGGTTAATTTAGCTAACTAATAATGATTCAAAGATAATCATCAGCCAATCAATAATATGCAAAAGATAAAAAGGAAGGTCACTTTTTTTCAGTTCATCATTTTATACATTTCCCTTGTGGTCAGTGGTATTTGCATGCCTTGTGAAGATTTGAAGCATGTTTATCTATTGGTGTGAGGATTTGCAGTGCATGTGCTGTCAAACCAATGAAGATGTTTCCTTATTTGCAGGTATTTTTTTTCTAAGCATTTTTTTTTCTCCTGCAGTAAGCGTAATTTCTAGCCAAAATGACTTACTTCCTCAGACACATAGCATACATTAATATTTATGAAGCAATAAAGACAATGTTGTGCTTACCAAATAAGGGCCCTTTTCTGATTTTTGGTTCAGACTTAAACCTTGAAAACATAATAACAGACTTAATGTGTAATCTTGTGCTTTTACGCAAGAATATTATAATGGTTTACAATCAGAGTTGATTTACATTAACATCATACTTTGTTAAATTAAACAGAAGTATACCGAGGGTTCAAATGCAGTTTAAAAACTATATTTTGCAATGTTGGGTTAAAAAAAAAAAAAAAAAAAAAGATTAAAATTCAGACCAGAAATTGATTGTGATTGTGTTGGTCATTATGAAAATGACATTGCTGCATCTGTGTACTTTTAAAACACAGATTTACAGTAGACATCTATAGAATTTTCAATCCCGCTGGTGGTTTTAGGGAATTGGATTCTCATGATAATTTAGACTTTTTATCAGATTTTGAATATATATATACACAAGTCTCTAGATGTTTTATCTCCTGTTCTCTGTGCCATGTCAGATGACTGGAAACTGAATACTGTTCTATTTCCAGCCATCAGCAATGCTGTAACAATCACCTGTTACATTTTTTGGCTTGTTTAATGCAGTTATTTTCTGCTCCACAAAACCCCTATGGCACTGGCCCCTCAGTGTCGAAACAAAATACTCATAGCAACCTTTTCTACAAGACAAAAGGGAACATATGCTGGCCACAAAATTACATTATTTTGTGGGAATTTGCAATCCCGCTGGTGGTTTTAGGGAATTGGATTCTCATGATAATTTAGACTGTTTATCAGATTTTGAATATATATATATATATATATATATATATATATATATATATATAAATATAAACATATTTTTTTTTACCTGGAATTAGAATGGACCTTGTAGGTCTGACTTCCACACCCTGCGTAGGGTACTGAAGAGGGCTGTTGGCTTCAGATAAGATGAGGGAATCTGCAGCTGTATATGCCCTGAAAACAAAAAAACTTATTTAACATTTCAAGAGATCCACCCAAAAAATGAAAACACAACTTAAAAATTGTTCCAAAACATGTGTGTGTCTTTATGTGAAGACATTTTGTAATATGTGAATACCAAATGCCAGTTCCCATTGACTTCCATTTTATGAAAAAAAATACTACAGTAGTCAATGTAGGCGAGTAACTGTTTAATTACCAATGTAACCCAGTTACTCACCCACATTTTACTCAGAAGTCCAATGTCCAAGCATTCTTCAAAATGTCTTTTTTTGTGCTTTACCAAAGAAAAATGTCATAATTGTTTGTCATAATGGTCATAAACTTTACCACAGAATGTTTTTTTAAGTGTGCATTTCAATTAAGTGTGTAAGAAAGTTAAAACCTTCTTAATGTTTTTTTTTTTAAACTATAAAAATAATGTGAAAAGATGCACTACCTTTTACGATAACGCTGGTACTCTTTACTTCTGTATTGCTTTGCTTTTTGCAGGTCTGAATCGTCAAACATTGCTTCTAGCCTAGTAGCCGATATTTCAGGGAACAACAGTTTAGAAAATGGGAACGTGATGCCTGGTTTGTTGCCTTCACAGACACACCCGTTTAAGGCAAGACTTCTGCTTAAAAGGTAAAAAGCATATTTGCAAGTTTAGTCACACATCATATGTCTTTAATTACATTTACTAGCAATAAAAGAGTGTAAAATTAAGAGGCAATGTTTATTTCAAATGAGTTTTTTATTTTATACTGAGAACAAAAGACTTCTTTATATTGGCACAGAGACAGATTTTTGTGATTTCTGTAGCTTTTTGAAGCATGTGTGCAAGAGCTTTTCTTACTTGAAGACGTCGTCTTTGATTTGGTAAGGGATGTGGTCATTTGTGTGTTGCAAACTTTGTGACCTTTTCTCTAAAATCATTTTTAAAGAGTCAGGTCCTTGGAGCACATTGATGGTTGTAATGCTGTTTAAATTCCAGTAGTAAAAGTACATAGCTGTAAGTGGCAAAAGCACCAGCAAAACCACCACTGCTTTCCTATTTACAACACGCATAATTGCCTGAAACACACAGAGGAAAGATTTTGAATTAGTATGAACTTAAGCGCAGCTCAAAAGAATGAACTTTTTTCAAGCGGCAGTCTTATTGACTCTTTGTTGCTGCATCCATGAAAAAGTCTAAGAAGTTTAGCAAGTAGAGTGTTGCACTGTTTTATATACATTTTTAGTAGGGTCAGTGCGTATAGGCAGAGATAAATAAACTGACTTTTAGAAACTAACAAAAAATGTAATTGAGGTGGATAGTGAAGGAATGTTTGGTGATTTTAACTTCATCCTATGCATTAATAAACTAATCCTTGCATTAATAGTTTAATTCTGTTTTTAACTAATTACATGAACTTATGCTGATGCGTTTATCCTCATAAAACCTTATAAAAACTTATAAACCTTATAAAACCATAACAGCCGTGCCTTTGTGTGACTGATTATTGAGAAGTTAACTCCTCGGTACTTATCAACAGAATGTTACATCTTTTCTTCCAGAGTGAGCTCATTTACAGGAACAATAACTGACGGGAGGGGCTTAAGCTCCCTCTCTTGCAGGCTCTGTTATGTGTATGCATAATTTTTTTCTGTGCAGGTTTGCTGTTCTGCCTAACAACTGATGATTGAACTGATGTTTGAACTGATCTGGATGGAGTATCTTTCTTACTGGAGAGCCCCTGGGTGAGGCAGAAGGGAAATCTACAATATATACTTGGCGGCGAAGGTTAGAGAGTATTGTGGAATGCCCACATGTAAACCTCACACTATAAAGAGTTTATTCTGCTGCCCAGAGCGCTCTGTATGCTTTATACATTTGATTCATAATTAATTTAAAACTTATTTGAAGCCTCAGACCAAAGTCCAACAATAGTTAAAAGTCTTGTCCAGACTATCAAGTTTCACTCATCCTGATATAACTAAGAAAACAGTCAAATTCATAGGTACTAGTCCAATCAGCCTGACAGTATTGCCCAGAACCACATGTGCCTTGAACTTAGCATTTACATTATTTTGGGATCTGGCAATGGTCAGTACAATACCTGACAAATGTCTTGTCGCCTATCCAGGTTTTATGAACAACAAATAATAGCCTTATTTCTATTTGATCATTTGGTATCAAAAGTGTATTATATGAAAGGCAAAGTCCTCTATATTACGCTTGTTTTACTAAAATAAAATATGATCATGCCTTGATTTTGAATTATTTAATTACGACATTAAGGTCTGACTTTGTTGAGACAAAGTCTTATCACTTAACAGAAATAATGTACAGTATAGAATATAAAGTCATGGTGCAGTGGAAAAATAATTAATATTGTGTATGACTCATATGAGATTAAAGGACTGCATCCATACATCTCTGCAATGACAATAATTTATTGATAAAGTCATCTGGAATGGCACAAAGCTTTCTTGCAGGACTCCCAGAATTCATCAAGGTTCTTTGGATTGATCTTCAATGCCTCCTCCATCTTACCCTAGACATGCTTAATAATGATCCTGTCTGGTGACTAGGCTGACCAACCCTGGAGCACCTTGACCTTCTTTGCTTTCGGGAATTTTGATGTTGAGGCTGAAGTATTACAAAGAGCACTATTTTGCTGTAAAATTTGCCCTCTCCTGTGATTTGTAATTTAATGGGCAACATCAATGACTTGATACCTCAGACTGTTGAAGTTGCCATCCACTCTGCAGATCTCTTGCGCACCCCATACTGAATCTAACCCCAAACCAAAACCAAAAAATTATTTCTCCTCTACCAAACTTGACTGATTTCTGTGAGAATCTTGAGTCCTTGCAGGTTCCAATAGCTCTTCTGTAGTATTTGTGATTGGGATGCAGCTCACAGATGATTCATCAGAGAGAAAAAAAATAATAAAAAAATTTGACCTTCTGCCACTTTTTTTTTTTTTTTAAACGATCAACTTGAAGTCACAACAAGTCTTTTGACAGGTAGTGTAAGACAAGAGTATAATGATTCTCATAAGTCATCTGCCAGACTTGTGCTCTAGGAAGTCATAATGTACATTTTTTAGTTGTACAGTCATCCAAGCTCATGGGAGTCAAACACAATATTAATTATTTTTCCACTGCACCATGACTTTTTATTCTATACCATACATTGCAATTAAAACAAGGACATACACCTTATTGATATTAACGACCGTAACAGTACTTAACCATCCGGTCCATGCTTTGCATTTATCTTTTACTTTGGTCAGGAAAGATCTCTGCATGTCACACCTAAACACAAGCCAATCAACTGCAGCTTCAGTTTAGATGCAAAGCAAAGACCTGGCTAATTTACCTACATTTGTATTTCTCTGGCGGTGCAAAGGGATGTAGCATGTCTTCTGCAGGTTAAACAAGCAGTGTCTCCAAAACTCAAATCATTTATTATATTCTGATCAAAAACTCAAATGTATGACCAAAAATGCTACATTTAAAGCACAAAACTTAAAGGTTATCAATTAACATTGTTGCGTGTAGAACTTTTAAAGAAGGCATGTCCAAACTCGGTCCTGGAGGGCCAGTGTCCTGCAAAGTTTAGTTCCAACCCCAATCAGACACACCTGGGCTAGCTAATCAAGCTCTTACTAGGCTTTTTAGAAACACCTTTGCAGGTGTGTTGAGGCAAGTTCTAAAATCTGCAGCACACCGGCCCTCCAGGACCGAATTTGGACATCCCTGCTTTAAAGCAATGGTCTCAAACGCTCTGTATAGTTTATCTCCAACCACCTCCAACTCACACCTGCTTAATAGTCTCTAGTAGTCATGAACACCTTGATTAGTTGCATCAGTTATGTTTGATTAGGGTTGGAGGAAAATTGTGCAAAGCTGCGGGAATCAAGGAATCGAGTCTGAGACCTATGCTTTAAAGCAGTGGTCACCAAACTTGTTCCTGGAGGGCCGGTGTCCTGCAGATTTTAGCTCCAACCCTAATCAAACACACCTGAACAAGCTCATCAAGGTCTTACTAGGTATAATTGAAACATCCAGGCAGGTGTGTTGAGGCAAGTTGGAGCTAAACCCTGCAAGGACACCGGCCCTCCAGGACCGAGATTGGTGACCCCTGCTTTAAAGGGTCACAAAACACCAAATTGCATTTGAGATGTTGACAGTCAAACATGTACCATGTTGTTAAAAACACTATTAGGACACACGTTTCACTAAAAAGTGAAAATTGGTTGTTTTTGTGTTGTTTAGAGCAAATTCGTTCTTCTGGTTTGAAAAGAAATTTTGAATCTGCAGCATGGCGATGAGATCCAGTGTGGAGATTCCAGCCGGTACAAAGTGACGTCATTGAGTTCTCAGCACATCTGTTTGTTGAGAAAGACTTAGCTCAAACCAATCAGCACGCTCTATTGTGAACGAGATGCAACTTCATTAATATGCATGATAAAGCTTTGAAGACTGTTTTTACCTCTTACAGGGTTCAGAGAGCAGCATGTTGTGTTGCCAACCATAAGTCAAACAAGTGAAAGAAAAATAATTGTTCAGAGCCATGAATCGTCAGTGTTTTGTTTATAAATTTTGTTTCGATTTCCCTGCAATGAGAGCACAAGTAGCGTGTGGACCCCCATTTGTGGATTACAGTGGTCTGCTAACATGTGAAAAAATATGTTTGTAATGAATGTTTTTGAAAAAAAATTTTTTTTTTAACTGAGAACTTTTCGAAATCCAGATTTGCCACTTGTCTTTTTTTATATAAAAGACGTGGTTCCAGTTCATGTTGATTGTTCTGTCTCTGCGGATTCGGAAAGTGTGTGATCAGTGTTTTGTTTAAGTTTAATCAGATGGCAAAGTTAGTTTGTATCGTCAGAAGTACTCTTTCAGTTTTTAAAGACATACCTTAGTCAAAATGATTTAGTTACCAAGTTTACAGTAATATTACTACAATATTATGGACTGAAAATCTGACTTTTGACAATAAATCTGGAAATATTATGGGCTAAAACACTTCCATACAGCTTTTAGATCCACTGTAAATGCTGCTCTCTGAACCTCTTTTTTTAAAATCATCTTCTTGTTAAAGTTTATCCTTTAATACCCAAACTTTTTTATTCCACAAGAGCTACACTGAAATAAATGATTCAAAGATGATTCCTTGAATTTACATTTTTTTTTATGTAAGTGATTGTAAATTTATTTGGGCTGAATTTAAACAAACAAGTTAAGTTGAACATTAAATTCATTCATTCATTTTCTTTTCAGCTTAGTCCCTTTTATCATGGGTCACCACAGCAGAATGAATCGCTAATTTATCCAGTATATGTTTTATGTAGTGGATGCCCTTCCAGCTGCAACCCAACACTGGGAAACAGTCATACACACATACACTACAGTCAATTTAGCTTATCTAATTCACCTATACCACATTTCTTTGGACTGTGGGGGAAACCAGAGCACCCAGAGGAAACCCATGCTAACATGGGGAGAACATGCAAACTCCACACAGAAATGCCAATTGACCCAGCCAGAGCTTGAACCAGTGACCTTCTTGCTGTAAGGCGATTGTGCTACCCACTGCACCACTGTGCTGCCTTTGTTTAAATTCAATCCATATAAATTGTTTGCAACAATCTTGCAGAAATCCTGTTTTTCAGTGCACTTTGGTGATAAAAGATTCTACCAGATCAGACACAGCAAGATGAATAGAAAACATGTAGTTAGATTATTTTAGTGTTTCCTGCTGGTTTATATGACTAGCAAGCCTTTTACACCTGCAACAATCTATAGACTACCTCTTCCTCATACTTCTTTTTTTTTTTTTTTTTTTTAAACAAATAGCAAACTTTTTTTTTGCTCTGTGTTCAGATCTAGAAGCTCACAGTAATCCTTAAACAGTATCCTATCTTCAAAAGAGGTAACAGATGTATGAATGTTTCATGTGAAGGGAATATCACAGAAAGAGTAAGAAAAGTTTGAAAGATAGCACATAAGGTTTTTCAATTCTTGCTTGTTTTGTTTGTTTATATATACCAAATGCCTGCTTCAGTGCACTGGTGTTAAGAATTAGATCATCATGCATATGCAGAGTGTGTTTGCGAGTGTTGTGCTGTGGTTAAGTAGCAGCAACCTCAGAGACTGCAGCTGAGCTCATCAGTATCACTTTTCATAGGAAGATTTTTTTTATAAATACATTTTACATTGATAATAATGCAACGTTAAACAATAATCAACTACGTCGATTATACATGTGGGAGATGGATGTTCCATCACAATCTCACATTTTATCATTACAATGTGTGGTAACAGCTTCAAATACTCCTCCACACCAGTCATACTGACAAAATTCAGCAGAAGCTCTAGGATCAAAGCCATTTGTCATCCTACCTCTCAGAGAGCGGCAAAGTGTGCAGCAGTTCATAAGCATTTAAAGCAGAGGTGCTCAACCCTATTCTCGGAGATCTACCTTCCTGTAGAGTTCAGCTCCAATCACACCTTATCAAACACACCTGAACTGAATTAATTAGGACCTGAACAGCGCTTGATAATTGCATGCAGGTGTGTTTGATATATTTTGCAACTGAAATCTGCAGGAAGGTAGATCCCCAGGAAAAATTTATTTAAACGGATACGAATTAAGTGGTTTACTGTGGATTGAGGCCTTTTTTGACTGGGTTAAAGGGATGTTTATTGACACTACTTACAAATTAAACAGAGCAAGTTATAGACATTTCATTAAAAATAATATCAACTTGTGTAAAATGGGCATCGCAAGCCAGCTTTAAACTTAAATGATTTAAGGCAGTTTTTGTTTTTCAATCAAAATTAAATTTGAGTTTTACAGCATAATTCTCCAGTGCATCCTCAGTTTATGGTGTGAACTTTCTGTAGTGATTTTGTTTGGAATTAAGCTTTGTCATCTCTTTCTCACCGTGTTCTAGTTACTACAGGGATGTCAAACTCAATTCCCGTAGGGGCGCAGCCCTGCACAGTTTAGTTCCAACCCTGCTCCAACACACTTACCTGTAGGTTTCAATCAAGCCTGAAGGACTCAATTAGTTTGATCAGGTGTGTACAATTAGGGTTGGAACAAAACTGAATTGAGTTTGACATCCCTGTTCTAGTTTAAAGTAAACCACCAACATCAACCATTAGCTGTCCGGAAACAACAGAGTTAATGTGGTTTTACGTCAAACCCAGATGCCATAAAATACTTTCAATCTGTGAAGACAACATCGAGAATCTAGAACAAACTGAATCTTCATATGCCTCAAATCTGCTTGTTAAGTGATGATGTGTTGGTAAAAGTATTTAATACTGTTTCCGGGTCCAATCCGCCACTCATTTGAGTTGAGAAACTATTTGTTTATGATCACTTTTAATTAATATCACACATTAAAGCTAATTTTATATAAAGTCATATTGTACACAGCTTGCTGCATCACAAATACCAACATTTTGACAATTTACAAAAAAGGAATGACTTTCTGGCCATCAGATATTAGGCATGGACATATATATTGCGATCGTTATTTTCGAAAGTATTAAATCGCTTCGTAAACGTTTATAATTACAACTTCATGAGTCTCCCCATACATTTGAATAGAGCGCTTGGACCCGAAAGTCACTTTGCATGACGTCATAGTTAACAAGCGGATAATGTTTGAGGCAGTACTCTAAAGGGTTAGTTTAACCCCAAATAAAAATGCTGTCATTATCACTGTCACCCTCATATCATTCCATAACTATTGACACTTTAGTTCATAGTTGGAATACAAATAAACATTCATAACATAAAATAAACATTCTCGAAAGGAACTAAAATATATATTTTCATGTGAATTTAGCAGTTTCATCTACATCATAGGTCTCAAACTCGAATGGATGGCCACAGCTCTTTACAGTTTTCCTCCAACCCCAATCAAACACAGCTGATCCAAAATAATCAAGGTGGTCAAGACTACACTGTAAAAAATAAACTGTTTAGAAAACATAAAAAAATAAGGCAACTTGATGCAGTAAGAACTTTGAGTTGTCTCAACAACTGTAAAAAAAAAAAAAAAAAAAACCTTTCAAAGGCCCAATTCTACCCCTTAGCTCTTCCCCTTACCCTTAATTTTGCGTGTTCACGCAAAGGGATATGGGTGTCCCAATTCATTTTAGATTTAAGGTGCATAGGGCTAAGGGGCCCTTGAAATAAAGATTTGTCAGGACCACACTCGAAGCCAAGGGTTACGAAAAATACCCAAAATACATCATCTACAAGAGCAAATTGGCTGCACAGGGAAGCCAAGAGATGCACAAATTATTATTTTTTGTCATTGTTATCAATTTTTACAACAAACAAGCACATGTTTTAATACATTTTAATACGCAATAATGACGTTTGTGTTTTACCGGCATGCTTTAAAAAAAGATTTAAATCTATAATCCTTAATAACAACTTTGTCCCGCAACATACTGTACTTTCACATCTGCCACTTAATGACACTCAAATACCTTGTCAGAAAAGTCTAGTGGCTGGGAAGGACCTTTTTTACAGTGTCTGGTAAACCATTAATGATGTTTTTGTGTGTTTAGATTAATATGACCAAAGTGTAAATGCACAGTACACTTATGAGCTTATTGCAACATTATAATGTTATGATAACATGATTTAGTTGCCTTCAGTGATGTCCTGAAAATAAATACCAAATAAATAATGCAGCTGGAATAATTACAGCAGTCATCGTTGTTAAAGCCCTTCCGTTTCACACTCTGTTTCAAGAGTCAAGATGAAGCGGAAGAGGAAGGGAAAGGGGTAAAAATAGAGTTGAGATTGGGCCAAAATTGCAACTGTATCAACATTAATAGAAATAATAAACTTCTAAATAACTTTTTGCTGTAAGCAATCATTAACCAATGCTTACTACAAGCTTTAACTATCCATGTGCTCACACATGCAGATGTTTGTAAGACTAATAAGCTATTTTTTTTTTAACACAGTGGCCTATTTCATAAGTCCATGTAGTTTAGGCTTTGTAGTTTAAATAGTAAGTACATTTAGCCTTCATAAATATAGCCAAACCCCTAAACACACACATTTAAATAATGAGTTTTAAAAACAAATCTAACATTTATCAAATCTGATGAGGAAATCAAAACCTTGTAGAGGTAAAAAAAACAACAACAACAACAACTAAAAATACATCAAATACAGACACACTTGAGTACCAAAGGGCATGTATGCAGGGCAACAAATGAATGTTGATATCGATTAATCAGTAGTGCTTCATATCTAGGCTGTGTGTTAAAGATAAATAATACATAAACTACCTGTTGTATACTTTGCTCATATTATTTTTTTTTGTGTTATTACATATTCTGGTATATAAATTTTCTGTAGGCTATTGAAACATTTAAATAAAGCATTTCTTACATGTAAATAATCTCGTTTTTATTTATTTATTTTTTATGCAAGAAAGATCATTTACAAAGATACACTATGAACAAAGAGTCAAAAAGGATTACATAAATAAAATTCCAGCAAATTAAACAAGTGCAATAAATTATTAGTCTTTTAAGGAGTTCACATATAAATCTAAATCCTCTTTTAGAAAATGTACATTTATGGATGTAAAATTTAGCCAGAAGAAGCAATAAGTTAACAATAAATTTACGATGAGAAGATTCTAAGTTTAGAGAGTAACCAAATAATACATTTTTGGGGAAATAATAATTTTGAAATACAATTGTAACAGTCAAAACACTTTAGAGTAAGTGCACTCAATTAAATGATTTAGTGTTTCATCATATTGAGTACAAAATGAGCATTTAGGGGAAAAGTTGTTGTTAAATTTCACATGCTTTATTTTTATATTTTATTTTGCCTGAAGTGAAGAAAAATATCAACTTTGATCAGGTACAAATAGGACAACTCAATAGATTTTAGATGTTAAAAAGTCATGGGCTACATCCACAATGTGACAATTCCAATGTCTTTTGAGGACGTCAAGTAAGGCTTCGTTTTTAAAAGTCAATCACGTACATTGTAAATGTTAAATTAATAACATAGTTAATAGTGTAATGCCTTACCCTAAAAACCGAGTAAATCCAAAATCCATTTAATTGCCTCAAGAGCACAGGCGCGTGTGAAGAGAGTGAAAGATTATGAGTGGACGAGTCTCTTCCGCCTGCTTTAGCAGTGACAGCATGGAGATGTTACGCACATTAACACGTCTAACATTCACCGACAAGACGTACTGAGTTAAGAGAAAAATTAAATAGATTAAAACAAATTGTCAATAGCTAGGCTACTCGTTTAGAATAGTTTGTAATAAATTAGCCCATGTGTTGCTGGAAAAGGACAAAAGTGGAAAGTTTACTAGCACGTCGAGTAAATGTGCAACCTAAACTGGTTAATTATTCTTAATATCTGATTAATTACATTTGCCAGAAAATAAACATGCTTCCTGAAAATTCATATGAATTATTAACAGGATGATTTATTAGCAGACTATAAGTCCTCCACTGTCTACTGTCTATTTATAGGCTATAATGCAATTATTCAATATTTTCAATATGGTTGAGCAAAGCCTTGCAGAAATGTTAATATTTTACTAATAAAAATGCATTTCAATGTATATATTTTACTAGAGTAGTGTTTTTTTCCTCTTCTATTTTATTTGACTAGACGTTAACTAGATAATCCTCTCAGGTCTGACCCTGAAAATCGAGTGAATAGGGACATCTAGTGGCTACTTCCGTTATAATGCAAAACATGCTGAATTTTAGGGAATTTTACCCGTAAAAGAACTGAAAGGCGCGTCTCTTACAAAACTGACTCATTTTACGTAGAAAGCGTGAAAAACAAAAAATAAAATAAATATATAAAAAATTTAAAATTAGGAAATGCATACAAATCTCCGTATGGAGGTCAGTTTCACCAAAGTTCATATAGTTACAGTTGATAGAGACAGACAGACAGACAGACAGACAGACAGACAGACAGACAGACAGACAGACAGACAGACAGACAGACAGACAGACAGATAGACAGATAGATAGATAGATAGATAGATAGATAGATAGATAGATAGATAGATAGATAGATAGATAGATAGATAGATAGATAGATAGATAGATTATGCAACACAAACTGTATAAGTGCACTCCTCACAAATCTATCTTTTAAATTCTTTTTTAATAGGAAGCTATACAATATTATATTTGTAATATAGGCTACATGTACATTAAATAGTCACCACTGAAGCCAAATCTGGAGCTTGTCTAACAAAATAACTTACTTAACTCACGATAAAGGTCCAAAAAACTAGTACACCCAAATTCATATGTTATAGAAAAATATTAAATACAAATTTAAAAAAGAGAGAAACTCAAGAGAAGCAAAAAAAAAAAAAAAAATTCTAAAGTTTTGTTGAAATTTTGTAGGTTGTAATTATTTTACAATATTTTGCTTGAATTTAATTGTATTATCTTTTAATTTCTAAATATGTTTGGTGACTAAAAAATAATTTTAATAGATATATCTGTTTAATAAATCTTTTTTGTTTAAATGCACCAAAATAGCCTACATTGCCTATATTTACTGAGAAATTTATAAAAATATTCATTTTTTTAAATGGGGTGTACTCAATTATGCTTAGCTCTGTATAGGATTACTTTGTGCTTTGATTTTGGTACATAAAAATTAAAAAGGGAATGTGAACTAAAAATATTTATTTGTATTATTGCTGTATCTTCTTCACCATACTAAGTCTAGCGTTTTTTCTTTTTATTGTCTGAATGTTATCGGGCATTATTTTCACAGTCACAGTTTTTTATATAATACAAAATAAATTATTAATAATTTATTGTACTTTTAGTAACCTACACTCGAAACATAAAAGTAATTTTTTCGTTGTAAATAATTATTAACATCAAATGTGAAGAGCGAATGCCCTAGTGGGAGGAGTCACCCATGGCAACAAACCGGCCATTCCTCCAATCAAACATCTCAATGCAGCGGCCCGTGTGTGTGATGCCGCTGATGACACAGGCCGCTTGTTTGTTCATGACAGGGGTCTGTTGTCCGATAGCAACGCACAAATAAACAGGTCTGTTAACCATACGGTGAAATACAAGTCGTATACTAATTCGGGGTAAAATGCCTTGCACACACCCGGGCCTTTAACCGAAGAATCGAATCCCCGTGTTTACGTGCAGACGTCACAGTGCGCGCTCGAAAGCAACCAGACGGTCCCCTCTCCTCTCAAAACGCCGATACTGAGAAGAATAAAGACTGAAGGCATGAATCTGACCGGAGCTGGGATCATTCTGTGGGACTACGAGCGAAATGTACAGGGGAGATAAGGAATGCAAGGTACGGGCCTTTGTCTTGGCAATCTAATGCAGATTTTATTGTTTGTTGACCACATAAAACAATATTATAGAGAATTATTCTTTTTATAATTTCATTAGATGATATAGTCCATAATATATAAGTACATTTCTATGCAGAAATCTGTATTCTAATAGTATTGGCAAAAGTACAGATTAGAGCAGGATTTGTGGGTGTTTGTTTTTTTGGGGGAATATTTTTCTAAACCAAACACTCAATTTGAATACTTCGGTAAAAACATAAGGTCAAACACTTAGAGATTTAGTTTAAGTAATATAAAACTGATTTCTTTAAGGCAAACATATGAATAGGTGATTACACGCAAGCTGAATGTCAGTTTTGTAAGGTTGACATTTCAGCATGTCTGAGGGCCTGGCAGCAGCAGGTGCTTAACTCTGGGAAATGAGGGTTAGAAACAAGATTTATCAGGCACACAAGGTAACCAGCTTATGAACTATTGTAACCTAGTAACAGCAAAATCCTAAGTAGAAAATGGCATTAACATGCTTAAAATGATCAGCAGAGAAACAGAAAAAAGTCAATTTTTATGTTTTTGATTTCTTTACAATTTTAAACAGCATCTTTGGATATCTTTTCAGCTGGAGACACTGTTGTCCTAAACAAACAAACAAACAAAATAAATAAAAAATCTTACACATACCCTAAGAACGATATAGCAGAAAATTCTGGCAGTTGTCAAACCTTGACTTTCCAAACAGCGGTAAACCTTGAAAATGGTTATTGTTTCATGCCTAATGGGAGGGATATATGCTTGTTATTTTTATATAATTGAAACACGTTTTCATTAATAAGAGTATGTATTTTTTTAGATTTAGATTACATTTTAATTTTACGAAAAATTTACAGATAGTTTTTTTTATTTTACAGATAAAATTTGACAGTCAGTGTTCACACTTTAAATAATTTATTTGTGTGATTTTGTCTTTTACATTTTTTTAAATAATTTATTTGTTTTTTAAATATTCCTGTGTGTTTTTGTTAATTTTTATATGCAATTAACTATTTTATCTATTCAATATTATATTAATTTAACATTTATTTTATAATTTTAGTTTATATTTTAGTTAATGTTTTAATACTTTTTAGTCTAAACTTTAAATTATTATTTAAATTATTATTTAAAAATAATTATTAGACTGTTAAATGATGATGAAGATATAATTAAAAAACTTTGAAACCCTATCAGAATCTGCTTTCAAGAGCTTCAGTATTTTTGACAGGCAGAACAACTGCACCTTACACTTAAAAAAACAACAGCATAAAAATACTTTTTGGCCTTATTCATTAAACCTTTGTAAATATAGGAGTGAATTCTGAGTAATTTTTCTATATATCAGATCTTCATGAAAACTCTCCTGCAGATTCACAAAAGGTGTCATACATATTAGATTTGACGGTTAATGTTTATGTTAATAAGATTGATTGAGTCTTCGCTGAGGCCAGCTTCCAGCCTCCACTGCTGAGACTGCAGCTCTACACAAGACTTATGGCCAGCGGAGAAATTAAAATGGTCGTGCTTCTCTCAAGGTTTTTTTTCTTCACTCTCCTATTGGTGAATTTTTTTTTTCCCTCTCCGCTGTCGCCACTGGCTTGCATGGTTCAGGATCTGAAAAGCTATGCATCGATGAATTTGCTCTTCAGTGTTTGGACTCTCAATAATGACTTCAAACCACACTGAACTGAGCTAAACTGAACTGAACTTAAACACTAAAAACGGAACTACCCTGATCCAGTTACTATGACCATTTATGTGAAGCTGCTTTGACACAATCTACATTGTAAAAGCGCTATACAAATAAAGCTGAATTGAATTGAATTTGATTGATTGATTGATTGATTGATTGATTGATTGATTGATTCATTCATTCATTCATTCATTCATTCATTCATTCATTCATTTTCTTTTCTGCTTAGTCCCTTTATTAATCAGGGGTCGTCACAGCAGTGGATGCCCTTTCAGCCGAAACACATCACTGGGAAACACCCATACACTCTTGCATTTGCACATGTACACTACCGCCAATTTAGTTAAAACAGTTCACTATACCACATGTTTTTGGGCTGTGGGGGAAACTGGAGCACCCGGAGGAAACCCACGTGAACACGGGGAGAACATGCAAACTCCACACAAAATGCCAACTGACCCAGCCGGGGCTCAAACCAGCAACCTTGTTGCTGTAAGGTTATCGTGCTACCCACTGCGCCACTGTGACACCCTAATAAGTTCCAATCATTTGAAAATATTGTGTATTTGTCAACTCCTATTATATTTATTGTCATTAATGTCATTCTTGATTTGTGATTTTTCTAACCTTGCAGTGACTGACCCAGGTGGGCTCCCTGAATGGTCATCATGAAAGCAGGCAGTTCAAGGTGCGCCTTCTCCCTGGGTTTCCTGGTGGGCAGCTGTAGTTTGTACGTCTTCCTGAGGCAGGTTTGGTTTGAGGAGAGCTTCAGCTGGCAGAGCAATGGCAGGAGCAGCCCGTCTCCACCAATAAGCCAAGAGCAAAACTCCTCCAACCTTACCTGGAGAGTTGAAGGATCTGCCCTGATCAACCTCAAGCATCCTAACCAGCCAGGTGTGTACCATTTATCTTTATATACAATCAAATAAAAAAATGTAAAAAATCCCACCCCAGATATACGGTTAAAGGCAGATTTATAAAATACATTTTTGTTCCCGATGTCTGTTTGATCAAAATAAGAGATTCGTTTTCAACACATTTTAAACATAATATTTTTAATAACTGATTTATTTTATCTTTGCCATTGTGACTGGAGATATTATTGTACTTAATATTTTTAGTCATTCAAGATGTTAGAAATGAGCTTAAAGTGCAATTTAAAGGTTTAACTTGGTTAATTATGTTAACTAGGTAAATAAGTGTAATTAAGCAAGTCATTGTATAACAATTTGTTCTGTAGACAACTGAAGAAAAAAGAAATAAATAAATATATATATATATATATATATATATATATATATATATATATATATATATATATATATATATATATTGCTTAAGGGGGCAAATAATTTTGACCTTAAAATGGATATTAAAAAAAACTGCTTTTATTCTAGCCGAAATAAAACAAGTAAGACTTTCTACTTGGAAAAAGAAAAATATTATAGGAAATAATGTTAAAAATGTCTTCCTCTGTTAAACATTTGGGGAATATTTGAAAAAGAAAAATTACAGGAGGGCTAACAATTTTGACATCCACTCTTTTTTTTTTTTTTTTGCTATTTTATACTAGTGAATGCAGGACACTACAGTTTGTTGATCTAAAGGGGGTCAACAAACTGTAAATAAGCAGTTTGGTATTGGACTGAAACACAATGTGTAGCTGCAGCATTGTGCAGAAGAAAGTGTTTTAAGTTACCAATGCCACTGTATTCACTGTCAGCCATGATTAATGTATTACATGGAGTGTAAGTGTCCGATAACATGGACGCATCTCAGATAAAGCAGGTAAATACAGTGTTTGTTGCCTGACAGATTACATAAATCACTTTGAAATGTTATGACTCAATGGCGATGAACATTTATGATAAAGGAAAGATTAAATTAGCTTCTATAATAAAGACACATTTTACAACAGTGGTATTTAATCTGATATTGCTGCAGAAATGCATCTTTTGGGGTTATTTCCCTCTTGTAATAGTTTACTATGATTTAATATAATGATTATAATGATTACCTAGATCGGGGGTTCACCAATCCTGGTCCTAAAGGGCCGGTGTCCCTACAGGGTTTAGCTCCATCTTGGCTCAACACACCTGCCTGGATGTTTCAAGTATACCTAGTAAGACCTTGATTAGCCTGTTCAGGTGTGTTTGATTAGGGTTGGAGCTAAAATCTGCTGGACACCGGCCCTCCAGGAACAAGTTTGGTGACCACTGACCTAGATGGTCAATCAGGCAGTTATTATGATAGTTAAACGGTTAACTTTCTTTTAATATATTATATGAGGATATTGATAGTTTTACGTTATAATATTTGTTTTTGATTAATTTTCCAGGTTAACAACTGACAATTAAAAGAAACTCAGCATTTGCAGCATTTATTGACTTATTGACTCTGAAAACTGGACTGACACAATTCAATTTGAATTTACTAGAACCTCTATGCTAAGCTGCTTTGACACAATCTACATAGTAAAAGCGCTATAGAAAAAAAACATGAATTGAATTGAATTGATAGCATGTACTGTATTTACTAGGTATGGATTTGAGCAAAGTGCTAATATCTATTTTAGTCTATAATTGTCTGATAACAGTTTTTATTCAAATTTCAAACAAAAGTATCATCATTATACTTAAAAGCAATGGCAATACATTCGACTAAAAACAAAAATTATATATATATATAATGAAAGAAGCCTCATTAGAAGTTTGCAGAATAAAACAAAGATCATGTTTTTATGCAAACACATTATAAATCCTTTAGTGTTCCATACCTGTACTTTATATTAAACATTTTTTTTCAATAAAGAAAATAATAAGATGTTTTTTCAAGAAAATCACCAATAATCCTCCATTGATTGTTTTAAACTCCACTGCTCCTTAACAATAAACGGTAACACTTTAGTCACAGTTCAAACTATTATTTACTGGCTTATTACCTGCCTATTATTGTTATTAACTGTTCATTTGTAACTATAAAGTATGATCTAAATCTGTTTTCCTAATCCTACCCAAAACCTAAACTCAACTTTTACCTAACTATTAATAAATAGCTAATTAGTAGCTTATTAAGCTAGTAGTGGTATTTAATGTATGTTAATACCATAAATTGTGACCTAAATAAAAGTGTTACCCTGTAAACTTTCCATTTTTAAATGTCACAGGAGAGGACGGTCACATAGCCGATGAGCTGTTCAAGAAAGTGCGAATCCTGTGCTGGGTGATGACCGGACCCAGTAACCTCCAGTCAAAAGCTCAGCACGTGAAGAACACATGGAGTCGCCACTGTAACGTAGTGCTATTTATGAGCTCAGAAGAAGACCGCAGTTTCCCCACGGTTGGCCTCGGCACTGGTGAAGGCCGAGACCAACTGTACTGGAAGACCATCCGTGCCTTCCACTACGCCCTAAAGAACCACGGCCATGAGGCAGACTGGTTCCTCAAAGCAGACGATGATACTTTTGTTGTTGTGGACAATTTGCGATGGATCCTGTCGAACTACACACCGGAGCAGCCTATATATTTTGGCAAGCGATTTAAGCCGTACACCAAGCAGGGCTACATGAGCGGTGGCGCAGGGTATGTGCTCAGTAAAGAAGCTCTAAGAAGGTTTGTGGAGGGGTTTAGCACTAAAGTGTGCACTCATACTACACCGGTGGAGGATCTGGCGATGGGGCAGTGTCTGGAGAAAATGGGGGTCCTGGCTGGAGACTCGAGGGACTCGCTGCACAGAGAAACCTTTCATCCTTTTATTCCCGAGCATCATCTTACTGGAAAGTTCTCCAAGACCTTCTGGTACTGGAATTATTGCTATTACCCAATTGTAGAAGTAAGTCAGACACTTGTTTTTTTTTTTAAACACTAGCATTTAAATGAGTTTGGTTGGTGAGATTTAAAAAAAAAAAAGTCAGGCAGGGTTTATTTTATACAGCTAAAAGATATGTTTGGTGAAATATTGTTACAATTCAAAATAATGGTTTTCTTTTTAAGTATATTTCAAAATGTAATTTATTACGGTGATGCAAAGCTAAGTTTTTACTCCAGTGTTAATTATTCATGCTTTTATTATTCTTATAAATTTTTTTACATTTCTTATTACCATCAACACTTATTAATTCTACTGAAGCCATTATACAGAACATTCTATCAGAAACATATACATTAACTGAAATAAAAACATAAATACAGTGAAAAAAAAGATTTCATCCTAAAATATTCCTAAAATGGTGTTGTTCTGTAAAGGAACATGACATTCATTTGGCTCTTAGATTGTTTTTCTTTATTAAAAAGGCAGTGGTAATTACAAACACTCAAATTACTGTAATTGAGTAGTTTTTCTCAGGGATTGTAATTTACTTAGTAGTTTTAAATATGTGCACTTTTACTTTCCACAGAGTACATATTTAGTACTGTATCTGTACTTTTACTCCACTACTTTCCTTCAACATCCAGTCACTACTTTTTCTTTTCTATGGGGATTAGAAAAATCAGTCCTGTGATTCCTGTCCAATCAAATCGCACATAAACAAACATAATGAACTACCTTGAGACATGGGTGATTTTTAATTGCATCAAACTGTTTGGAAGCATTAAAAGTGTCCAAGTTGGTGTCCAAATCTTTCTACGCTATGACCCAGAGACTGTTTAGATGCATGTCACTGATGAGAAGATGAAGAATGTTTACTGTATAATGACCGGAATGGCCTTAAACGCACAGCAGGCACAAGATGTCAACATGACCTCAGATTGACTTTGTACCCCAACATTGTGGAGACATTACATTTTGTTTGGAAATGAAATCGGGTTGACATCAGAACCCAACGTCAGGCCGACATTGTCAAACCTAAAATTAACCAAATTTCAACATATAATGATGTTACAGCTTGATGTTTTTGGACTTTACCACTATGACGTCTATCAGATGTTGGATTTTATCTGATGAATAAATGTGAGCATTTCACATCAATATGACGTTGGTTTAAGATGTTTGCTCTGCGTTGGATTTTGGTCACTTTCTAACAACCTAAAATCAACGTCATTTCATGTCATTATTGGACATCAAAATAACATTGTCCTTAGATGATGACTAGACATTGAATTCTTAAACCTGACATCACAACCTAAATCTAACCTAACATTAAAGTCTTATGACGTTGTGTGCCTGTTGGGCAATACCTAAACGCAATACAGTGCATGTTACATTTACACACATCCACAAATGACATGTAAATGCGTAATATTTGCAAAATATATTTTTACTGTACTTGCTCAACATTTTATGGCAAGTAACTGTACTTTTACTTACTGTAAGTATGATTTTTCGGTGCTCTGTGCACCACTATGAAAATGTAAAAACCCTGTCATTATCCTCAGCACAATTAAACCTACATCTTTAATAGTTTTGTCATGGTAAAAACTGTTGTTTAGAAAGAAAGAAAAAAACTTCAGAAATAGCAAGCTTAAGTTGTTATCATTAAAACATGAAACTTTCTTTAGGATTCTTTTTTGAAAAATAAATAGTTCAAAATATCTAAATTGGTTTGCCATTAAAATATTATGAAACATTATACAGTGCTTTCGCTTTTAATTATTTTTATATATTCCTGCTAAAAAAAAAAAGTTACAAACTTAAAAAAAAATTTAAGTTAAGCATTTTCGGGATTCTTCTTAAAAAATAAAGGTAAAAGAACAACAATTATCTGTCATTAAAATATTTTGAAACAATATTAAATCCTTTCGGCGAAGCAGTGGTGCAGTAGGTAGTGCTGTCGCCTCACAGCAAGAAGGTCGCTGGTTCGAGCCTCGGCCCAGTTGGTGTTTCTGTGTGGAGTTTGCATGTTCTCCCTGTGTTCGCGTGGGTTTCCTCTGGGTGCTCCGGTTTCCCCCACAGTCCAAAGACCTGTGGTACAGGTGAATTGGGTAGGCTAAATTGTCTGTAGTGTGTGTGGATGTTTCCCAGAGATAGGTTGCGACTGGAAAGGCATCCACTGTGTAAAAACTTGTTGGATAAGTTGGCGGTTCATTCCGCTGTGGCGACCCCGGATTAATAAAAGGACTAAGCCGACAAGAAAATGAATGAATGAATGAATAAAATCCTTTCACTTTTAATTATTTTAATATTTTCTAAATAAAAACTGCTAAAAAATATGCTAAATAAAAAAGTTACAAACTTTAAAACATTTTGTGTCCTTTATGACATTCCTCTACATTCAGTAGCCTCTCATTTCCTAAATGCAGCAAGCTAATTAGGACTTCTTTTTCTTTGGCAAAACTTAAACATATAATTTGATACGTTTTTAAAAACGTGAGTGCCACTGAGCAGAGAAAACAATTTAAGCAAAAAAAGTGATTTTCCATTTAAGATGGGTGTGAATAAAAATCAACAACATTGTTTGAGAAATGTACTTGAGAATGAAATTACCTCTCATCATTTTAGCAACCTCGTTCAGGTGATTGCAAGTGAAACCCACAATGGGTAGGTTTGATGGGGGCAGCATTTGTCAATAGTTTTTACGTGATGATTGAGATTCGTGACTAGACAGCTAATGAATAACAATACAAAACCTAAGATACTAACAATTTAGTACTTTTTATGGTAATCGGAATGGCAACGAGAAAGGGCACAAATGCTGTTTCAGTGTTTTATAAAGTGTGTTTATAAAAACTAATATGATTAATGATGAATGAGTGTATTTCTTTCTGAAAATAATAGCCTTTTGGGAATACTTGAAAAATGTTTTTTTATCATTTAAATCCACTCCACTTAATCCAAACTTTCTTACTTATGTTTTCTACTATTTCTGTACACAAAAGAAGATATTTTGAAGAATGCTGGTAAGTAAATAATAATCCACATAGTTTTCCCCCCTTTCTATTGAAGTCAATATGAACCATTAATTGTTTGGTTATCAGCATTCTTCAAAATATCTTCTTTTGTGTTCTGCATGTTAAAGACAACATTTTTGTAAAGACAAAACAAAAAAGCAAGGAATTTAAATAGCACTGGAGCTAGCAGTTATTTTTATAATTGTTTTAACTGTGATTTACCTGTGAATCTTTTGATTAATCACAGAAAACATCAAATCAATTCAAAATTCTAATCAAAAGTCTTGTGAACTCTAATTTCAATCTAATTTGTAATTCTTAGTTTTATTCTGTTTTATTTTGTAAGATATTACATGTATTTGTTTATTTTTGATAATAATAATAATAGTAATAATAATAATATAAATTTTTCTTTTTGGCTTAGTCCTTTTATTAATCTGGGTGTCGCTACAGTGGAATGAACCGTCAACTTACCCAGCATATGTTTTACACAGCAGATGCCCTTACAGCTGCAATCCATCACTGGGATAATAATAATAATAACAATAATAATAATAATAATAATAATTAATTTTATTTATAAACTTTGCCTTTCTGGACACCTATAAGGTCACCTTACAACAAGCATCAACAGATAAACCAAAACAAATGTTTCTGAATCAGTTGGAGTTTATGGAGAATTTTAGAAGGAAGCCTAGTGAGAAGTGCATTACAGTAGTCAAGACGTGAAGTAACTAATGCATGGATAAGACTTGCTGTATTATTGGATGTGAGAGAGGAGCGGAGGTGAGTAATATTATGCAGGTGGAAGTATGCAGTATGCATAATATTATTAATATGCCTTTCAAACGAGGGTGTGCTTTTCCAGATGACACCCAAACTCTTGACCTGTAGAGCAGGACAAATTGTACTATTATCAATGTCTATTTTAAAAGGATCTAATTTATCTAAGACACTTTTAGTCCCAATGAGTGGGGCTTTAGTTTTGTCACTATTTATTTTTTAAGAAAGTTTGCTGAAAAGAAAAGACTGTTTCTATGAAGTTATACTATATAATTGTTTAATTTTGTATATTTATTTGACATTTATTAACCTTTTTAGAACTCACTTTTATATATTTGCTTTATTTTATTTTCATTTTATTTTTAATTTATCGTAATAAAATTTTGGAAAAATTTGATAACAATTTAATCATGTTTTAGTTATTTTTTTATTATTTATTTTTTATAAAACAAAAATATTATAAATATTACAATTTTGAAAACTGATTATTTATATTTTATTGTTGTGCATATATGTTTATTTTACTAAATTGTTTATTTAATTCTATTTTTAATGGCATTAATAAACTATTCCTTAATATCTGACTTTTTTAAAAAAAAAGAAAAAGTACTCTATTGGGATCTGGAGACCCCTGTGCTTATCAACATTATGACACAAGCTGCTAAACCTAAAATATTTCTTTAAAGCAAATTATCTTTGATCAGTTGTAAAAATATTATCATCTCAGAATCTCTTGTGTCTGTTTTACCCCTACAGGGCCCTCAGTGCTGCTCTGATCTGGCAGTTTCTTTCCACTACGTAGATCCTGTGCTCATGTACACCCTTGAATACTACACTTACCATCTGAGGCCGTTTGGCTACCAGCACCGCTACCAGCCTCCAGTGCCTGCTGTCCTGTCATTACTGTCCCAAACTGTGAAAACCACCACAGAAACTCAGAGATCGGAGGAGGGCGCTAAAGAAAAACCAGCTTTAACAAACTCAGTGAATCCCAGAGCTGAAGAAGTACAGACAACTGAAACAAGTTACAAAATCACAAATGCTGCCCAGGAGAGAAACACAACCCACAGAAGTGCAGGGTGATTGTGTGTCTTGGTGAATGGAGTGTTCTGTAAGTCTGAAATGAAGGGACTGACTAATGTGAATGGTAAAGTTGTGTAGCATTTTCTGTGTACTATAAGCATGTGTTGTATTGGGTACAGATTTCAGCTGATTACCAAAAGGTAAAGTGTGCTCCATTAACATTGGAAACCTTGGTTAACATGAAAAATTGCCTTTATTGATTAACCATTTGATCTTTTCATTTAACCTTGTGATCTTTTTCATCTTTTCAACATTAAAAACACGTTAAAAATCACAACACAGTTTAATCAAATTCAAAAATCTGTTAAGTATATGTGTATCACAATTATTTCCAGCTATTATTGAAGTATATTCCCGTTGATAAGTTTTGTAATGCACCTTCACTGTAAAAAGCAGTTCGTTTCTTAAAAAGGAATGTAAATCTCATGCCTTAAAAGCTTTAAAGGGCAGTTTAGGATGAAAATCATCTTTTGTGAGTTGTTTGGACAGAACTGTGTTTAGGCATTGTGTTTCCACAGTCATATTAGGGTGATAGAAACACAAGAAGTCTTTTTTTTTTAATTTCCTGATGTGAAAATAGGATATATATCCCTTCCATTTTAAGGCCCAACTTGACGTGGGAGTGCAGTTTCCCACCAAATTGATTGACAGCCACATATTAGCATGTCTCCATAGTAATGCATATAATCATATCAACAAGGCAGGACGAGCACAAAGCAACCGGGATTAAAAGATCTGTTCAGCTCGCTATGATCATCAAATGTGATCAAGAATGAGTTTGACAAGTTTAAAACTTTTTTGAAAACAGTACATGTTTGTAATAAAGTAAGTTAAAGACGGTAAATTCACTGTAATTCATCACCACAGCTGCATTTCAGTACAATTAGAAAAGAAGAGGCTTCAATCCTGATTTGTGGACATTAAATCAGGTTTATTTTGTACATTAACATAACGTATATTCATACAGCAGTGGATATTACCGTGTACCATGTCACATTCACAGTGCAAAAACAGTGCAAAGTTAAACGCACGCTGTGTGTGTGTCTGTGAAATTTGTAACAAAATTGTTGTGACTCATCGTTTTAGAAAGGCTTGAATTAACTCTACAACAAATGCATCAAATAACCATTAGGAAAGTTCTTACTGAAGTATTTCTCACAAACGTTGCGTGAGATCTGCTTCCTAGATGTCTGTCACTGTGCTGTTTATCTGAGGCAGAGATTATGACAGGCATGTGGGAAAGGTGGGCGGGGAGAACTAACATCAAAGGCACAGGCTACATTTTTGTGTAGCAGAAAATTCCAATATTCTGAAAGTAATAAATAATTTGATGGGTGTTTTAAGCTGAAACTTTACAGACATATTCTGGAGACACAAAAGACTTCTTTTAAATCTTGAAAAAGAGGTAAAATAGGTGACTTTTAAGTTGACTTGAAAACTTGTCTTGACAAAAAGTTGACATTAACAACAAATTATACCTAATTTTTATAAATTTATTCACAGTTAAATTACTTAGATTTAAAGGCATAGTTCACCCCAAAATTAACATTTACTCACTATTTACTTAATCTCAAGTGGTTATAAACTTTTAAGAGTTCCTTTCTTCTGTTGAACATCAAAGAAGATGTTTTAAAGAAAGCTGAAAACCTGTAACCATGGACTTTCAGAGGAAAACAAATACTATGGAAGGCAATAGTTACATGTTTTTAGATTTCTTCCAATATATTCTTTAGTGTTTAACAGATGCAATAAACTCATAACGGGTTTGAAACAAGTAAACTGTGTAAATGATGAAATATTCATTTTTGGGTGAACAGTCTCTTTAAGGCATTTGGTAAGTGAGATCAAGATAAGTAAAATCAACGAATCGCATTTAACAGTGTAGGTGAACATGAAGAGGAAATTATTCATGACTTCCTGTTTTTGAGATCTGTAGATGAGAGGTAACACATTGACCAAACTCTCAGTTCTTCTTCATAACATAAATAAGGTGACAAAAGGTTATTAAGCTACACAAAATGAGAAGTAAGTATAAGAAAGTAGAAACACTGACATTTTAACTATCAGGGCAACAGTTTTGATAAAATGGTATCAGTCCAAACGGAGATGTTATGGATCAGCCTGGAAGAGGACAAGTGTTAATTTGGTCTTTACTGAATGTAGAACGATGGTTCAAATGGCCAAAAAATCTTCATTAATCACTGCTGAATAATTGCAGATGTTTGAAGAAAAAACCTTGAGCTCTAAACCAAAGCAAACTTAAACATCCTAATATTTTGAGCAAAGGATTAAAAAGGCTGACATTTTTTCAAAGCATTTTCTTATTTGATTTAAGTTCATTTTGTCTTAACTGAATGTAAAATAATGGACCTAATGGCCAAAAAAAAAAAAAAAAAAAAAGAAAATCTCCAGTAATCACTGCTGGATAATTGCATAAATTAAAAAAAAATGCTTAAGCTCTTACCCAAAACAAACTTAAGCATCCTAATATTTTGAGCAAAGGCGTGAAAAGACATTTTTTAAAAGTCTTTTCATATTTACCAAGTGTGCCAATATTAGTTGAGGGCACTATATAATGTAGGTTCAATAATCATCAAACATCAAACTTCGTCTGTATTGCTCTTGATCAAGGCTTGTTACAGTATGCTGGTAATAAATGTAACTGCAAGTCACTTTGGATACATGTTTGCTTCTGTATGTCTCTTGCTGTTGGAATAAATAGTTTTTTGCCTTCTAATCCAAATATAGAACGTGTTATTAAATTTGTTCTATTAATTCATAGACAAAGAGCTTTAGTTTTTTAGCAATGAGACAAAAGGCAGTATACAGTTTTTCATGAGTCAAATCCTCAGTGCTTTGGCAAATGTATCTGATTGCACAATTTTTATTTGGTTGATTGAGAGTCTGTTGTGAACATTAAGTCAAAACGTAAGATCAGGTAGCCTAGATAATATCTTTATTTACAAAATTCATGTTTTATACATTAGACAGCAAAAATAACTTTGAATAAATATGTATAGAAATGCATGGGATGTAAATGGAGATTTCAATTTGGCCTTGTAAGATGTAATCAAATGTATAATTTGCAGTACAATGAAACAAATCACACCATAGGAAATCATGTTTATTAGATTTATCTTGTATAAATTGCTGTTGCTCTATCACTTTTGTAAAATAGATTATGACTTCTTGTTGTTGCTCCAAAGAAGTTTATTGAAAAGAAGCTGTCGTGACAGGGTGGTGCAGACGATTCAGTGGATATGAAATATTTTTTTGCCTATAACCCACGACGAAACCTGTAAAAATTGTGAGGAGCACAAATTAGTAACAGATAGGAAATGACATTTGTTGTAACGTCTTCAGAAAGCCTGCAGGTGGCAGAACAGCCTTGCTGAATAATCGCAGACGCTCACCTCAGTTTGCATTTGTTGAAGAAGATTCCTCCGCTTGGTTCTGGGTACTCTTTCCTCCATTGACGTCCGGATTCTGACAACACAAATAACAGTAAGTTTGAGAAGCTTGATAGATCGACACCATTCGCATTAATACTAGGCTACAATATAGGCAAATATGTTCAGTTTAAAAAATCTTTGCAAGTGTTATTCTCACTACACCTTAAATATAGACAGTCGGAACTAGTTTAAATCGCACTATAGCATATTAACACAAAAAAGTAATCAATTTCGAGTCGGTACCTCAGTGAAAGTAATAAAAACGTCAAGTCTAAGTGAGTCAGATATCGATTCAGTCACTGATAGATCATGCAAAGTACCGCATTAATTAAATTCTCTTGTGTCTTTATGATCAATTTTCAAAGTTATTTGTTAGTTGTCCTAAAGCAACTTTGTGTTTGATTCCTCACAAAGAATCGACTCATAGGAGTCGTTTGTGAATCAAACTCCTAAACCCGCTTTGGGTCCAAGTTGGATTTGAAGACGTCCCCAAATGACTATTCGCTTAAATATAAACGGCAAACTATCAAGTTCATAACAGTCATCTAAAGGTACAGTCACTTTTGTCTTTCACAAACATCAGTGAAATGAAGCGAAAAGCTGTTTACCAGGTTCAGCGCTTCGTCGACCCATGAGTCCAACAAAGATATCGTGCATTTCCCCTGGAAGACAACATGTATTATTACCTGAACAGACAATATGAGAGCACACACACCAAAAATATCTTACTTTTACGTTGGGGTGGTATATCATCTGTTTCTGTAAAAAAAAAAAAAAAACACACACACACACATTTAAGACACGTCAACAGGAAAATTAAGCGAAATTGTCACAAAATTACAACATCAACAAGAACAAATCAGTTTACTCACCGGCGTTTCTGCGCCCCATTAATCCGACGAAACTGTCATAATCTATGTCATTATACCTCTTCAGCAAGTTATGAGTCGACATCCGAAAACTTGGACTCTCCTGTGCGTATAAATAAGATTCTGTTTTAAAACCAGGGTACTAATCCTGTACATTTACAGCTGTGAGATGCTCATAATCTGTCACTTACGCTTGAAACTGATCTTTGAGACTCTGACTGCTGACAGCTCGACTCACTCCATCGGGTTTCCAGCACCAAAACCAAGAACAGTAACACAAGTCCACGGTACATCTTTACAGATTACTCTGTGGAGAAAATATGCAGAACACTAAAGCAATTTTTCACATTTTTATCAAATCATTCATTTATTATACCACATTTTACTTGGTGAAATTCAAATAATAATAATAAAAAAACTGCTGTCATTGTCATTTCATTTGCTGATGAAACCTTTGTCAAATTGATTAGAAAGAAAGATAAACTAAAACATTTTAATAAAACTGTAGTATAAAATACAGGCAATCCAGAAAATTTTACAGGTATTTTACTCACCTGAGCTGAGGATGAAGATCTGTAGAAAAGAGCTCAGTTCCAGTTTCTGCTTGCAGAGTTAAATCCTTTTGTGATGGACTATCTATCAGACAAGACACAGAGACAGGGATTCTCTCCTGTCTGATTGTTAAATGATAGCAACATGTGCGTAAATCCAATCGGATGTCGCAGTGTAGGTGTGGTTTAAGGCTTTGTAGTCTGCATCAGCGATGACCATGCAATTGAGATCCTGACATCATAGGCGTGAGGCATTCCTTAAAAGGACAAACCAAAGCCCCTTTTGTCAACCCCCTACCTTCAATTACTCACATGAATTCTTGTAACTTTAATCCAAAATCTGAAACTTTGCCAGATTTTTTCCCCGTACTAGTTCAACGAATATCAGTCATGAAACATGATCTCCCACATCCAACTCAAACATTTGCACGAGAGCACATCTAAATGTCATGTTTGTTGACTCATTAAGATTATGCTGATATGTATCCGAATGCTACTTTTCTGTGCTAAGTAGGGCCTTATTGTCATATTTTCCTCCTGACTGCCTAATTGGTGCTGTCGCTGGCGAGAATGTAATCTCTCAAGGAAGCAATTACACAGATGGAGCGGTGGATGATGAGGACGGTGTATCACGGACTCTATGGACATCTTGAGGGTGCATCTAACTGGCCTGGCGACATGCAGGGTTGATTAGTGGGAACATCCATTAGTCGCTGCCCACACTCAGTATGCAGCATGCAAAAGGGCAGCTGCGCTTTGAAGTTCCTGTTGGAGAGCAGATTTGATCAGTTCATCAACAGAAGCAAATGATTACAACAGCCCAGACAGTACTAACCCACTTGTACATCAGCATAATAAAACCTGTGAGACTCCGACATAGTTGTCAACACTCAAGTTCGCTATTATTGAACTTTTTTATTTACCTACACTAGCATATCCTCAACAAAAACTTTAACTTTTGATTGTGGACGATGTTTACGTTTTGGTTGTGCATTGTACTTTACTATAGCATAAACCAAACTGACAATGTCTTTTAGATTACAGTTGAATTAAAGGACACCTATTTTACCTCTTCTTCAAGATTTAAGAGAAGTCTTTTGTGTCTCCAGAATGTGTCTGTAAAGTTTCAGCTCAAAACACCCATCAGATTATTTATTATTCCTTTTTTAGAATATTAGAATTTTTTGCTCTGAACACAAAAAATGTAGCTGTTTTTGTTGCGTGTGCCTTTAATTCTAGTTCCCCCACCCACCATTGCCACATGCCTGTCAAAGTGTGCCTCAATTTCTGGCTGTGTCAGATAAACAGCACAGTGACAGACATGAAGGTAGCAGATCTCATGTAGTATGAGAAATACTACAGTAAGAATTTTCCCAATGATTATTTGATGTATTTGTTGTGGAGACATGTTGTTATAAAAGTTCACGCACACAGACAGCGTGTGTGTTTAAATTTGCACTGTTTTTGTTGGACAAATATGACAGGATACATGTTTATATCCACTGCTGTATGGATATCTGTTCTGTTAATGCACACAATTAACCTGATGTAACGTCCACAAACTGGGATTGAAGCATCTTCTTTTCTATTTGTACTGACATGCAGCTGTGGTGATAAAGTAAAGACACTAAAATCACTAATTCCTACTAATTTACTACAGAGACATGTTAATACACGGCTGTCAATCAATTCGGTAGGTGGGGAAGACGGCACTCCTACGTCACTTTACGGTGGGAATCAGTATCAGGAAATTAAAATAAAGGGACTTAATGGGTTTATATTACCCAAATATGACTGTGGACACACTATACCTACTAGGCATGGGACAATAACCATGTTCAAGGTATGTCGTGTTTTGGAAAAGTCAAGGTTTTAAAACCGTCATAATTTTCTGTTATAAGGTGTGAGTAAGGTTGTTTCTAACATATGTGTACAATTTTTTTATTTACATTTTTCTTTTGTTTTTTAGGACAACAGTATCTCCAGCAGTAAAGATATCCAAAGATGCCGTTTTAAATTGTAAAACAAATCTGTGTTTCTGAAACAAATTAAGACAGCAGAAGTCAATAATTCATTTGAATTATTTAGCCTGACATGTTTACTGTTCCAAAATATTTGAAAAGTTTTCCAAATTAAAATATATTTTTTCAAAAGGGAAAAAGGTTTTGTTTTTTTACACAGACATTTAAAAAGAATATATTTTAGAGCTGTAATCCCAATACCATGATACTGTGAAACCGTGATTTTTTTTTTATCTAAGGTTATCATACCGTCAGAATCTTACCGGCCCATGCCTAATAACTACACACAGTTTTGTCCAAACAGCTTCTAAAAGATGATTTTCATAATAGGTGCCCTTTAATGTAGGCATTCTCTAATCAATCGGTGCAGATTGGTTTTGGTTGATAATTGCACTCTATGACTCAAACTAGTAGTCACTAATTTTAATAATCAAATGAATTGATGGCAGTTTTACAACATAACAAACATGAGGACCATTGTAATCATAAGAAAATATAATGTTTGAATTAAATAAATTAACAAAAATGCCCTGTAAAGTTAAACTAAACTGCTTTACGGCATGACTGAAGACAAACGTAAAACTGAATGAAAAGTGTCAGTTTTTCTTTTAGTTTTTTATTCTCGGTATTTGCATAATTATGATCTTAAAATTAAACAAGCATCTCCACTTCTGTTAACTGTTGAAAATGCAGCCACATGTCACAAAGATGGCTGTTGACAGTCTTGTGCTGCTGATGTCATTTGGAGCTAGAGTCTGTGCAGTTGCTATTGTAGCTCATGTATTTCGTTAAAAGTTATGATCACCTGCTCTTTCCCCACATGGCTAACAGTGTTAGGCCATAGATGGCTAGTCAATGACAATTGGTTTCTAATCACCCCACGAAGCACAAATTTAATTTAATCAACAATTGCGGTTAGTAGCTGTTTAGTCATTTAAATAAGAATCATTTCAACACAGAAGTGTTTATTCTGCATGAACTCTGTACACTCATGATAGATGCCAAATGCATAAATGTAGCTTACTGTATGTCAATATGTAATATACTGTATATACAGTAAAATAAAGTTGCTTAAAAAGACCTGGGTTTTTAAACTTAATTCACTATGCCTCAATTTTAAGGTCTCGTGATGTACTTTGAAATGTTTATTCAATGTTTGACATTATCTCAACTGATACATGAATACATTAAAGGAACATATATTAGCCCCTCCCCTTTTTAAAAACAGCCAATAGTGTTTAGCTTTTGTCCTAGCTCTGCCAGTGAAAGTGGTTGCGCTCAAGCACAATAAATGAAAAGTAAATGTGAAGTGTCTTGAAAGGGGCGGGACATGTCAGATACTAGAGAGCATTTGATTGGTCAGTATAGTTGACATGAAACTGAAGTATAAGGTGATGTCAAAAAATGTAGGTGAAAATGACAAACTGCAAGCTTTGAAGGTTTATATTCTTTTATATTTTTGTCACTATTTTGGAGTAGACTAACTTCTATATATATTCTTAAGACTAACATAATAATACTAACATCAAAAGAACTTGATCTTATTTTCACGGGACATTTAATGCCTGAAGGCAGAGCTGAAACTTTTAGATTTGTACACTATAATCATGTTGTTAAATCTTGTACTTCAAAATTGTATGTCTTTCTCATCATTATATTTGTTTTTCAATCCTAGGATAGATACATTTATGTGAGATGCAGATTGGGATGGAAATATTCTACCAGAAATGATGCTTATTTCAAGAACAAATGGTATGAAAATTACTTTTCTGTTCGAAATGATTTTTCTATCCTCAGCCTTCTGGTAGATATTTGTTCTTGTTTTCATCATGAACTTCATGCTTCATTTTGTTCTTTTTCTGAAAACAAGACTCTTTTGTCATGCTATTATGTTTCTTTAATAGACACTGGACAACTTTAAAAACATGACAAAAAAAAAAGAATTAAATTCTGAGGAACATTGCTTTGTTACAGTGTTATCAGAAGCTTCAGTAGAATTTATATTCACATTGGTAGTTATTCAAACCTTAAGGTATTTTTGTAACAATTTAAAAAGGAATAAGGAGTACCTACAACTCATTTTGTGCTCCCTGGAAATTGATTTCTAGATAACTTATTGACATTTTATAATGAATAATTTGGAGAGAACACATTTTCTTTTCTTGGTCTTGAAAAAAAAAAGTCTTAAACTGACCTTGAGAAACCCTGAAGATTAGAGGTTTGTGACATTATAAATAATGTTGCTCTCTACCTAAGGCTGGGCGATTATTTGAAAAGTAATTGAAATCGACATTAAGAACCTATAATCGATATAATGCACCAGAGATGCCTTGAGGTGACATATTTTCTATTACAATAAAGTTTTTATTTACATGAAAATATTTGTTTACAGAAGATTCAAGAAATGCACTGTTTAAAATATTATATATACATAATTATATATACATCATTTTATTTAGAAGAGATACTGCTTTATTCTTCTTTTGAAAACATTGAAAAAATCAAATTTGTTTCCAAAAGTGCAAGTTATTTATTTTCACTTTTTTTTTTTATATTTCAGTTGTTTAATGTTGAAGTTTAACAAATACTCATAGATAGTAGATGGTGTGTTTCCTTCAATTTGTCCAATATTCCTTCAATCATTGTAATGTGTGTACTGTACAAAACTTGTCAGTGAACTATGAAGGCAAACATGAAATAAATAAAATAATTGTTTATTAT